AGCAAAGCAGAGAAGTTCAGTTATGATGCACAAAAACCAAAAACTTAATTTCTGCAAAAACACATCAGTTTTGTTCCATTATTGTTGCCAGCACAGAAAGCCTTTATAAATAGAAATAAAAAATATATTGTTCAGGGATGCAATAAAAAAAAAAGAACTCTGTTTGAAACTTAGCTTAGCAAGATTTTAATATAACTATAATTATTTTCAAATGTTGTTTTTTTATTTATTTTTTCTAAAACATTTGACAGATTTTATATTTTCAGATGTTATATTTTTTAGATTAAGATCTACAAATTGTATTTTTTCAAATTGCGCTTTGCAGATCATATTCTCTTCACTTCAAGCCCGATACGGTAGAAGCCTTTCAAAATGTTTCCCACTTTCCTTGCTGGTCCTTGGCTTTCTGTCATGATTTGTGGACGTCAAAGTCTAAAGAGAAGCATCATCTCCTGGTCACCCCCTGTAATTCAGTGAAACGGTGGAGTCAGAGTAAAAAAAAAATGCAAGAGGGGGGTCGCTGCAGTGGCTGGAAGTTGGAGGGGATTTACGGGGAGTTGCAGGGAAGTGGGCTGCTATTCAACTGGCGTTTGACTGGCAACGGCCATTTTGAATGGCCGCCACTGTAAAAAAGCTCACTGGTAACGCGTTTAGAGCTGAAACAATTAATTGGATTAATCATAATTAATCGATTATTAATAATCGTCAACTAATTTAGTAATCCATTAATTTCTAACTGGAGTATATAGCCTGTAAAACATGCATTTAGTTGACAGATCGACCCACTTAGAGCAGTATATTATGTTCTTTAAGGAACCTTTGGCTATCAGATTATTAATTGATTAATTGAAAAATGACAGATTAATTGATTAGCAAAATGAGTTGCAGCCCTAATCCAGCGGACCAATAAAGCGTCTTTGTTCCTCAGTCCAAAAGAAACCCCGCCTCTGGAAGCGAAGAGAATGTGATCTGTAAAACCCAATCCGAAAATGAGAAATTTGAAAA